CTGAAGCCATTGTTTCCTGCTCCCAGTTGGGTTCTGTCCTCCAGCTGCTCTCCCTCAGCCCCTCCGCCCCCAGGTTGCCGACTCCCTGTCCCTCCCTGTCCCTGTGGTGGACGGTGTCCAGCCTCCCAGGTGAGTCAGCAGCCACTGCACTTGGCTTTCTGGACCTGAGCTGGTGGCTCTTCTGAGGATGCAGTTTACAGGGTGTTTTTCTTCCATGAGGGCAACTCTGAAAAGCCTGCTGGGTAAAGTCACGTTACCGTGCTTGGCCAACTGCCAGTGCCTGCGAGTGAATGTGTGAGCTGTCTTCCCCGAACCGGGTTTAGCTTTGTGTGTGTGTGGGGGTGGGGGTGGGGGTGGAGGTGGGAGTGGATCTTTGGATCATTAGGGTGCATATGGATTTTATGTTTAAGAATCTCGAGGGGTATTTGTTCCTTTGCTGTCGTTGCTGTTTTGTTTGCTTTCTCATGTGCAGGCTCTATTTTATTTATTTAATTTTAATATATTTTATTAAATTTCTACAGAGAGGAAGGGTGAGGGATAGAGAGGTAGAAACATCGATGAGAGAGAAACATCGATCAGTTGCCTCCTGCACGCCCCCTACTGGGGATGTGCCCGCAACCAAGGTACATGCCCTTGATGGGGATCGAACCTGGGACCCTTCAGTCCACAGGCCGATGCTCTATCCACTGAGCCAAACCAGTTTGGGCACATGTGCAGGCTTTAACTGGATGTAAGTCGCTCTGTAAAACTCACACTGCAAAGATGCATAGAGCCGGCCAGCATGGCTCAGAGGTTGAGCGTTGACCTATGAACCAAGAGGTCAGGGTTCTATTCCAGGTCAGGGCACATGCCCAGGTTGCAGGCTTCATCCCCAGTAGGGGGCGTGCTGGAGGCAGCCGATCAATGATTTTTTTTTTTTTTAATTTTTATATATATTTTATTGATTTTTTACAGAGAGGAAGGGAGAGGGAGAGGGATAGAGAGTTAGAAACATCGATGAGAGAGAAACATCGGTTCAGCTGCCTCTTGCACGCCCCCCACTGGGGATGTGCCCGCAACCCAGGTACATGCCCTTGACCAGAATCGAACCTGGGACCCCTCAGTCCTCAGGCCGACGCTCCATCCGCTGAGCCAAACCGGTTAGGGCAATGATTCTCATCGTTGATGTTTCTATCTCTCTTTCTCTCCCTTCCTCTCTAAAATCAACAAAAATCTCTCTATATAAAAGCCTAAGCTATGACCCGCACTGACCACCAGGGGGCAGACACTCAATGCAGGCATGGAAACATGGAACAGACTGATGAATCTCAGAGGGAAGAGGGGTAAGGGGAGGGTGGGAAGAGATTAACCAAAGATCTTATATGCAAACTAGAGGCCTGGTGCACGGATTTGTGCACTGGTGGGGTCCCTCGGCCTGGCCTGCGGGGATTGGGCTGAAACCAGCTCTCTGACATCCCCCGAGGGGTCCTGGATTGCAAGAGGGCACAGGCCAGGCCGAGGGACCCCACACACTGGGCCTCTAGTATATTAAAAAAAAAAAAAAAAAGATACAGAGTTGCATGCCCACTGGTGGGTTCAGCAGGCTCCACGGCGAGAAGCTATGGGACCGAGGCCCTAAGGGGGCCTGCAGCGACCAGGCTTGTATGTAAAGTGTAGGGCCATGGCACTTGTGGAAGATGGGTGGGATTTGGCGAGGCAGAGGTCGTAGGCTTGACACCAAAAGCACCATCCATAAGAGAAGAAACTGAGACGGGACCTTGTGAAACGGAAAGCCTTCTGCTCCGTGAAGACCCTGGAGAGGGTGAAGACAGGCCGCCGAAGAGGAGGAGGTCCGTGCAGGGCGCGTGCGGGACGAGGGCTGGCACCCGGAGCCGATTCAGAACTCGGAACTCAACAGGAGAGCACACCCCGTTAGAACATGAGCGGAGAGGTTTGTGCGGCTGGGTGAGAACCGCCCGCCTTCCTGTCCGCAGAGGAGGCCGCTGTGGGCGAAAAGGGGCCTCGTGCTAACCTGACAAGCTCGGGGGGGGGGGGGTGCCCTGTGGTGACCCTGCAGAGTCAGAGACCCACAGCAACCCCAGAGGATGGAGTGAAGTTAACACTGTTGAGCGGGTTACGGCAGGTAGGCCTGTCCGAGGCTAGAGTCTTCCCTGACGGAAGCCAGTCTTGACCGTCACTGAGCCTGTCTGTTGCCTTTTGCATCTAAGGTGACATTCCTTTGGGATGTGGGGGTGACCCCTGTGCCAGGCCCTCAGGCACAGCCAGCGCTCCAGGGCTGAGACCATGAATCCTCTCCTTGTTATTACCACGTTAATTGTTGGTTGTGGACTACCCTGCACCCACCCACCCACCGAGGTGAGAGGTGGCTATCGTTTTACTTTCCATCCAGTCCGAGTCCCCCCCTTTGCTTTCTCCCACCTCCCTCACCTATCCTGAGACCCCTCAGTCGGAAGGGGGACACTCCAACCACCCACCCCAACCACCGGCCGAGCCAAACCATCCGGGGCTGTGCCTTCTCTTCTGATGTGATGCGCAGGCAGTCCTCCGGTTATGTCGGACCTGATGTACGTCCTTTCGTGGTTACGTCGCCATCGCCCCTTTATTTATAAAAAAAGTTCCGTCATTTCGACGTCTGTACACATGTGCTTTATGTTTTTATTATTTACTTACCACAAGTGAAGGCCAGGAATTGTTCTCTTTTAGGTTTTTTAAATGTTTTCCTTCACTACTGCTGTGTCTGTGCTCCACGTGAGTGACGTAGGTGCTTGTGTAGGTGGGTTCCGCACGCGAAAATTGCGTTACGTCGCCGTAGGAATGGATCTTCCACGCCACCCCAGGACCTGCTGTTTAAAATAAGGTGCAAAGCCGCCATTCGCTGGAGCGCTGTCTCGTACAGGGAGGTCCTGCCTCCTGCTCCGGCAGTTGTCCATAGTTTGGCTCAAACAGACTCACAGAAACCCTTTCCGGGTTGGACTGTTTCTTAGGTCGACAGGTCTCCCATGTATTCAGCTACCCCTTCAGTAACGTCCGCTCAGTGCGGGGCAGACGTGAGCAGAGCCAGGGCGACGGCCAGGTACAGAGGTCACCAGGGGCTGCCCGGGTGTCTAGCAAAGGACAACAGTAGGGGGGGCCTTCCCCCCAAGGGTGGCTTTCCTCCCGCCCCGGCTGTACCGTCACCTTCCTCACTCCCAAGCTCCAAGCGCCCTTCCTTTGCCGTCATAACTTGTTCCCTAAGCCGTTTTTTCTAGGAATTCCCTTTTCTCCCTCTGCCATTTACCCAACAAATGTCCTCTTACAGTTTAGCTCTTGGTTCCGAATTCTTTCCCAGCCAGAACCCAAGTGCCGAGGTTGCTGACTCCCGGTTTGGTCTGACCCCAGGGGTCACAGCGATAGGAACCAATAGGAGCCGGTGTTGAGAATGGCATTGCCCAGGTGCCTGCCCGGGTGGGAAGCATCATCGCCCACCGCGGTGTGCGCGTCTCGGGTCGCCCTCCCTGCACCCTGTTCCTTAGCACACGTTGTCCAGATCTGCTTGCGGTGTTTCTGTTTAGAAAACCCTATTCGGCATAAATAATGGCAGTTTGCTCGGCCGGATTGGCGGTGGACAGAGTGACCGGGAGCAGACCGAGGGTCCTGGGTTCAGTTCCCGTCGAGGGCGCACAGTTGGTGGAAGAGGCAACCCATCCCTGAGTCTCTCCCATGCGTGTCTCTCTCGGCCTCGCCCTCCCTCCACGCTCCCTAAAATAAGTAAATAAATAAAAACAATGACAGTTCCGGTTCTTCCCGCCCTTATAACTCCTGTTTCTCGTCTAGTGTTGGTGATGGTTCAGCAGGCTCTCAGGCACTTGCTCAAGGTCACACTGAGGTCACCGGCAGAGCGGGTACGCCCCGGAAAGTGGGGACCACGGGTCGCAAGGGGGGCACCCCGAACCGCCGGCGGGCCACCCGCCCTCACAGCCCGCGCGCCCTCCCTGCCCGCGCGCCCTCCGGCCGCCTCGGGTCGCCCCGCTGCCCGGCTTCGCGACTCCAGAGCACGCCCACGTCGGCGTAGGCCCCGCCCTTCCGCCGGCGTAGCCCCGCCCCCTGCTGTTTCAGGCCCCGCCCACCCGGACGCAGCTCCGTCCCCTCCGTCGGCGCTGGCCCGCCCTGCCGTCTGGGGCCCCGCCCACCCAGACGCGGCCCAATCCCCGTGCGCGCGGCGCCGCTGAGGGGCGGGCGGTGGCTGGCCGAACGGCCAATGAGCGCGGCCGGAGGGGGCGGGGTCGCGTGGTGTGCTCCCGGCCGCTGAGGCGCGTCGGCTGTTGCGGGAGGAGCGCGGCCTGCGGGGCCGGCGACTCAGTCGCTCCGCCCGGCCGGCCGTGGCCGCCGCCGCTCGGCCGCGCTCAGGTACCGGCCCAGCGTCGGCCCTCGAGGCGGCGGCCGGGCGCGCGCCCCCCGCCCGTGCGTGCGCGCCCCGCGGGGCCCTGCGTGCGCGCGCCTGCGCGGGGCCGCGCGTGAACTTGGGCCGGACGGGCCGGCTGCCGGCTGCGCGCAGACCTGGCCGCGCGGCCCGATGCGCCGCTCCCCGCGTGAGTGCCGAGCGTTTTCGCCGCTGGACCCCGGAGCGCGGCGGGCGGGTCGCGGAGGGCGCGGGGCACCGGGGGCTGGGACTCCCGCCGCGCGCAAGCCTCCTCGGACCGGCCCGGGACCGCCGCGCCGCGGAAGCCCACGTGCGCCCCGGGACCCCGCGCCCCCCGCGGCTGTGAGGGGCCGCGCTGCCACTTGTTGAACCGACTTGGGTGTCGCCGGTGCGGGTGTCGTCGCTCCTGGGCTCACGTGCTTGTCATTTCGCAGCGGGAGAAGCAGGAAGTTGGACGGGACACACGGTGCGTTAAGGAGCCTCCAAGGTGGCCCCGGACGACGTGGGAGGCCGGACCCTCCCGCGGCCGGTGCGCGGGGACCGCACGCACCGGAGGGCGTAAGTCCCGGACCCGCGGCGCGCGGCGTGAGCGCTTTATTTCCACTTTCCCCGCCTCCGCGTCCCGGCAGCTCCGGCCGCCTCGAGCCCGCGCCGCCCACCGCGGTGCCGCCACTCCCCTGCCGGGCGCCGCCGCTGCAGCCGCGCCGAGTGCGATGCCGCCGCCCCGGGCCCTGTGCGCGGAGGCCGGCGAGAGGGCGGCCTCGGCCTCGCGGGGGCCCAGCCGCGGGACCGAGCGTAGGTGCTGCGTCTCACGCAGGTCGGCGGCCACCGCTCCCGGGACGGAGCGCGACCCGGAAACCGGCCGGTCCGGGAGGGAAGTGCCGCCCCGCGCGCGGATGGTAGAAGGTGGGAGACGCTCCGTCCCGATTATTTTGAAGTTCTTTTTTTTTTTTTTTAAATGTTTTTATTGATTTCCGGGAGGAAGGAAGAGGGAGAGGGAAACGTCAATGATGTGAGCGGATGGAGCCCGAAACCGGGCATGTGCCCCGGCGGGAGTCGAACCCGGGACTCGCCGCCCGCAGGCCGAGTCTCTGTCCACGGAGCCAAGCCGGCCGGGCCGGTTACTTTGAAATTCCTGCGTGTAATCCGAGATAGGAGTGTTGGAAGGGTGACGGGGGTTGAACGGGGGTCGGCGAGTGCCCTGTAGACAGCGGTGCTTGCCGATGATCCTTCTGCGAGTCTCCGCGGAGGGCGCCTGCTCGGGGCTCCCCGCTCGCTCCCATCCCGTGGCCCCCCTTCGGGCCCAGGGCCTGAGCTCCTCCCTCTGGTGCAGCCCGCTGCCACCTTGAGGGTCGCACAGCAGGGTGGCAGGCGTGGGTGGTGGGAGCTCGGGACGGCTGTGCCCTGTGCAGACAGACCCTGGCATTGTTTGACTCCCTGGGATTTAGGGGCGAAGAAGGGAGCGCGGTCCTTGCTGCTACAGGAAGTACCTAAGGGAGAGAGCCCCCCAGTTCCTGTCCATCTGTAGGGGGACGCGTTGGGGCCTTTCCTGGGTAGAGAGGTTTTCCCTCTGCACCGTGTGCTCGGGGCAGGCACATGAGGCGACTTGTGCTTTTACAGGGGACTCAGCAGTTTTCACAGGTGCACTGCAAACCTTAAAAAACCTAAAAAACAATACAGATTTTTATAATAATCCCTTTTAGCTTTTTCTGCAGCAATCTTAAAATATATTTATAAAATGTATTTATTGATTTCAGAGAGGAAGGGAGAGTGAGAGAGAGAAACATCAATGATGAGAGAGAATCATGGATTGGCTGCCTCTTGCACGCCCCCCACTGGGGATGGAGCCGGCAACCCCGCGCATCCAACTGAGACCTCCTGGTTCATAGGTCGATGCTCAACCGCTAAGCCATGCTGGCTGGGCTGCAGCAGTACTTATTAGCTCAGTGGATAGAGTGTCGGCCTGCGGACTGAAGGGTCCCAGGTTTGAGTCCGATCAAGGGCACATGCTCAGGTTGCGGGCTCGATGCTCAGTAGGGGGCGTGCAGGAGGCAGCTGATCAGTGAGTTTCTCATCATTGATGTTTCTATCTCCCTCTCCCTCTCCCTTCGTCTCTGAAATCAATAAAAATCTATTTAAAAAAATACTTCTTAAAGGAGAGTTGATTTCCACTGTCTTAAGCATCCTATATCAGAGAAGGCTAATATGCCAGTTGACCACCAGGGGGCAGAAGCTCAACGCAGGAGCTGCCCCCTGGTGGTCAGTGCGCTCCCACAGGGGGAGCACTGCTCAGCCAGAAGCCAGGCTCATGGCTGGGCCAGCCGGTCCGTGGCAGGAGCCTCTCCTGCCTCCGCTGCAGGCGGCTGGTAAGGATGACATCCCCGAGGGCTCCCGGACTGCGAGAGGGCTCAGGCCCGGCTGAGGGACACCCCTCCCCAGCGCACGAATTTCGTGCACTGGGCCTCTAGTCCATTAGAAATGGGCATAATTTAAACATGTGCCAGGAACCTGGGCATTTTCCCGTGTGCTATTTACGTCGATTCCCGAAGCCTTGTGGCCTCGTGTAGTGGGTGGTTCTCTCCTGTTTCCAGTCACAGGAGCACAGGCTCAGAGAGCCCAGCCGGCAGTGGGCAGCCGGAGTCAGACCTGCCTCCTCTGCGGCTGGCGGTCCCACCTCACCCCTTCTCTCACAGGGAGGCCGCGTGCTGCAGCTTGCCTCCTCCGCCTGGCACAGCGGAGCAGCGGTGCTCCAGGATGAGGCGCAGCTTTCTTCTCCTTTGTTGGCTCGTGGCGCTGACCTTCAAACACGGCCTCTGCGCCCTTTTAAACCGAGTGTCCTGCTGTCCAAACCGACAAGACGTTGGCTGGTCAGGGCAGGTGCTTTGTCTCTTGTGTTGAAGTCTTTTTTATTTTTCATTTGTTATTATTATTATTTTTTAAAATCCTCCTTGTTGAAAGTATTGCATGTGTCCCCTTTGCCCCCCTTGACTCGTCTCGCCCACCTCCACCCCACCCTGTGGTCTGTGCATGGGCTATGCGTGGATGCGTACAAGTTCTTTGCTCTCTTCCCGCCTTCCCTCTGAGATTCCGCAGTCTGTCCCATGTTTCTATGTCTCTGGATCCATTTTGTTGATCAGTTTTGTTTATTTTGTTCATTAGATTCCACATGAGTGAGATCATGTGATACTTGTCTTCTCTGACCGGCTCATTTCCCTCAGCACAGTAGCCTCCCGGTCCCCCCGGGCTGTCTCGCAGGGTCAGGGGTCCTTTTTCACGGCTGCATAGTGTTCCCTGGTGTAGATGTGCCAGTTTTCTAATCCAGTCGTCTGCCGATGGGCACTCGGGCTGTTTCCAGATCTTAGCTATTGTGAGCTGTGCTGCTATGGACACAGGGGTGCATCTATCCTTTCTGATTGGTGTTTCTGGTTTCTTGGGATATATTCCTAGAAGTGGGGTCACTGGGTCAGATGGGAGTTCCATATTTAATTTCTTGAGGAAACTCCATACTGTCTTACACAGTGGCTGCACCAGCCTGCACTCCACCAGCAGAGCCCGAGGGCTCCCTTTTCTCCGCATCCCCCCAGCACTGGTCATGTGCTGGTGGTAGCCATCTGACAGGTGTGAGTGATACTTTATTGTCGTTTTAATCTGCATCTCGGATGCACAGGGACTTTGAGCCTTTTTTCATGTCTCTCGGCCGTCTATGTCCTCTTTGGAGAGGTGCCCGTTAGGTCCTTGCCTACTTTTAATTGGATTGTTTGCCTTCCGTCTGTTGAGTTGTGTGAGTCCTTATAGATTTTGGAAATAGATCTTTGATCAGATGTGTCGCTGCCCGTGTTCTCCCTACAGTGGCTCCCTTTTCGTGTTGCTGATGGTTTCTTTGCTGTGCGGACGCTTTTGACGTTGATGTTGTCCCACGTGTGTATTTTCTCAGTGTCCTTTGCGCGCGCGCGCGCGCGCACACACACACACACACACACACACACACACACGTGCAAGCCCGGCGCACACCTGGCGGCCAGCCCCTGGGGCAGCGTGCGGCCGTCTGGGTGTGAACTCTGCCTGCGTGGAGTCCTTTTCTAAGGTGTGTCAGCGTGAACTTGAGGACACCCCAGCCCTGGTCAGCTGTGGGTCCGCAGGAGGTGGCCGTGTGCCGGCTGCCATGGGTGTGGACCTGAGCGGTCTCCCCGTGGGCTGCTCAGAGCTCCAGCTGTGGCCGGCTGCTCCTCCGGGTGATGAGGGGGCCGTGGGGCCGTCATCACAGCAGGCGGGTGGGGTCCCAGGGCAGGTGTGGCGGAGTGGGTGGCGCCGTCCTCCCCAGTCCTGTCCTCCGTGCTGGCGGCTCCCTGCCCGGGGCCCAGGGCTGGGCCGTCAGCTGCTCCCGCTCAGCGTGGCCACCAGCGGGGGCTGGCTCTGCCCAGGGGACTGTCCGCGGGGATAGGTCTCAGCACAGCTCCTCCGCCTCCGCTGTGGCTCAGTCTGGGCGCCCCCTCCCAGGGCTGGAGGGCTCAGTGCCTATCCCAGCATCGCCTGCATCACCCCAGCTGGGCCTGACACAGACTCTGCACCCCGTCCAGCTTCAGTGGGGGAGGGGGCTTTTGTGCAACTGGATGGAGTGGGGGGGGGGTGTTTAACTCCTTTGGGCCTTCATCAGCAGTGAGGCGGGCACTGGGCCGTCCGTGGTGAGTGGTGAGGTGGGCACTGGGCCGTCCGTGGTGAGTGGTGAGGCGGGCACTGGGCCTTCCGTGGTGAGTGGTGAGGCGGGCACTGGGCCTTCCATGGTGAGTGGTGAGGCGGGCACTGGGCCGTCCATGGGCAGTTTGCAGGCAGGTGGGTTGGGGTTTCTCACTGCTGGCTGAGACTCGGCTCTCCGGCACCTTCTAGCTCTCACGGATGCCGATTCTCTTTACTGACAGGCGGACAGGAGGCTCTGAAGAGCCGTTGGCGATGGATCGCTTGCCTGTGACCCGGAAGTGCAGCCGGGAGGGTTAGCGCAGACCGCGGTGCCCGCCTGCCGAGCCTGATGCTCTGGAGCCCAGGGCCTGGCGGTGCGGACGGAGGAGCCGGCTGGCCCGACCATGGTCACGCTCATCACCGAGAAGCTGCAGAACCAGAGCCTGGACGACCTCGCGCACCCGAGCTGCGATGCCAGCCCGGTGAGCCGGGGGCACCGCCAGGGGCGGGGGCAGCGTGAGGGCACCGTGTCCCCAGAGCCTGCCAGCCTCGGGGTGGGTTTTCAGCATCATCACCCCAGCTTTTCCTCGGACTCACCCCAGGATGTTTTTGTTTTTAATATGTTGTTTTTTTAAAAAATATATTTTCATTGACTTTTTACAGAGAGGAAGGGAGAGGGATAGAGAGCTAGAAACATCGATGAGAGAGAAACATTGATCAGCTGCCTCCTTCACGCTCCCCACTGGGGATGTGCCCGCAACCAAGGTACATGCCCTTGACCGGAATCAAACCTGGGACGCTTGAGTCTGCAGGCCGACGCTCTATCCACTGAGCCAAACCGGCCAGGGCTTTAATATGCTTGTATTGATTTCAGAGCGGAAGGGAGAGGGAGAGAGAGAGAGAGAGGAACATCAGTGATGAGAGAACCATGGATCGGCTGCCTCCTGCACACCCCCCACTGGGGACCGAGCCCGCAACCCGGGCATGTGCCCTGATCGGGAATCAAACCCTGACCTCCTGGGTCATAGGTTGATGCTCAACCACTGAGCCACGCTGGCTGGGCAATATGCTTTTTTTAAATTTTTTATATATTTTTTTAGAGAGAGAGGAAGGGAAAGAGAGAATGAGAGGGAGGTAGCCTCTTGGGAGCACCCTGACGGGGAATGGAACTCACGACCTTTTGGTGTTCGGGACAGCATCCAACTAACAGCCACCATCAGGGCAAACCCCAGCTTTTAGGGACAGTGTGGCCCCCACACACAGTGCAGACCCCGGTGCACACCCCGCGATGGATGCGAACGCCGCCCTCCCGAGAGCCTCGTCGGGTCTGTCACCAGCGGTCAGCTCCGCCCGGGTCTGAGCTTGGTGGGCGGGGAGCCATTTTCTCAGTGTCAGCACTGAGCTTCAGGACTGGTCAGGCTGTGGTGGGGGCTGTGTGCCCGGCCCTGTGGGGTGTGGAGCCTGGCTTGGGGACTGGGTCTGTGTGGGCGCTGTCCTAGCCGTGGGGCCAGGTGGGTGCTGGAAGTATCGGGGGACATGTGTAAAATAGGACTGTGTGCTGCGCACCCGAAACTAGTACAGAGGAACATTGACTGTAAACTATAGAGGAAAAGTACAGTTTTTTAAAAGCGGGGAGAGGAATTCTCGGGGTGAGTGCAGGTCTCTCTAGCTGCCGGAAGGGCCGGTCCTGGGAAGTAGAACGCATGTGGCCATGAAGGAGCCGTGTGGGCGCGTCCTGACTGGCGTCTCCTGTGAACGTCTCTCCTGTCACTCGCAGTGTTCGGCCGAGAAACGGAGCAGCAGAAGTGGCCGCGTGTTCCCTTTTGAGACCAACGGTAAGTGTTTGAAGCCCGGGCAGGTGTGTAGGCCGCTGCCACCTGCCTCACCTTGCGGGTGCGGGTCACAGACTCGCCTCGCCTTCCGCGGGTCTATGTTCCGGCCCACACAGCCGCTGGGGGAAGGACAGGACAGCGGTGCACGCTTGGTTGGCGTGTGCTGGACCAGCAGTGTGTGTGTGTGTGTGTGTGTGTGTGTGTGTGTGTGTGTGGAGGGTAGCCATGCCTTGGAGTGTGAGGATCTGCCCTCCACCCTCCAGGGCACAACCCCACATATGTGCCCTGTGGTCTCAATGGGTCAAGTGGCCTCACCACCCAAGTGTGAGTGTGTGTGCACAAGAGTGAGCAAGTGTATGCATGTGAGTGTGAGCGAGTATGCACGTGAGTGTGAATGCATGTGCACGAGTGTGCACATGTGAGCATGCAGTGTGCATGTGAGAGTGAATGAGTGTGAGCAAGTGTGCACATGAGTGTGAGCGAGTGAGAATGAATGAGTGAGCGAGTGTGCACGTGAGTGAATGAGTGTGAGCGAGTGTGCATGTGAGTGAATGAGTGTGAGCGAGTGCACGTGAGTGAGTGTGAGCGAGTGCATGTGAGTGAATGTGAGCGAGTGTGCACGTGAGTGAATGTGTGAGCGAGTGTGCACGTGAGTGAATGTGTGAGCGAGTGTGCACGTGAGTGAATGTGTGAGCGAGTGTGCACGTGAGTGAATGTGTGTGAGCGAGTGCATGTGAGTGAGTGTGAGCGAGTGCATGTGAGTGTGAGTGCATGTGAGTGTGAGTGAGTGCATGTGAGTGAATGAGTGTGAGCGAGTGCATGTGAGTGAGTGTGAGCGAGTGCATGTGAGTGAATGTGAGCGAGTGTGCACGTGAGTGAATGTGTGAGCGAGTGTGCACGTGAGTGAATGAGTGTGAGAGAGTGCATGTGAGTGAGTGTGAGCGAGTGCATGTGAGTGTGAGTGCATGTGAGTGTGAGTGAGTGCATGTGAGTGAATGAGTGTGAGCGAGTGCATGTGAGTGAGTGTGAGCGAGTGCATGTGAGTGAATGTGAGCGAGTGTGCACGTGAGTGAATGAGTGTGAGCGAGTGCATGTGAGTGAGTGTGAGCGAGTGCATGTGAGTGTGAGTGAGTGCATGTGAGTGAATGTGTGAGTGAGTGCACGTGAGTGAATGAGTGTGAGCGAGTGCATGTGAGTGAGTGTGAGCGAGTGCATGTGAGTGAATGTGAGCGAGTGTGCACGTGAGTGAATGTGTGAGCGAGTGTGCACGTGAGTGAATGAGTGTGAGCGAGTGCATGTGAGTGAGTGTGAGCGAGTGCATGTGAGTGAATGAGTGTGAGCGAGTGCACGTGAGTGAATGTGTGAGCGAGTGCACGTGAGTGAATGTGTGAGCGAGTGCACGTGAGTGAATGTGTGAGCGAGTGCACGTGAGTGAGTGTGTGAGTGTGCACGTGAGTGAGTGTGTGAGCGAGTGTGCACGTGAGTGAATGAGTGTGAGCGAGCGTGCATGTGAGTGAATGAGTGTGAGCGAGCACGCACGTGAGTGAATGAGTGTGAGCGAGTGCACGTGAGTGAGTGTGTGAGCGAGTGTGCACGTGAGTGAATGTGTGAGCGAGTGCATGTGAGTGAATGAGTGTGAGCGAGTGCACGTGAGTGAATGTGTGAGCGAGTGCACGTGAGTGAATGAGTGTGAGCGAGTGCATGTGAGTGAATGTGTGAGCGAGTGCATGTGAGTGAATGAGTGTGAGCGAGTGCATGTGAGTGAATGTGTGAGCGAGTGCACGTGAGTGAATGAGTGTGAGCGAGTGCATGTGAGTGAATGAGTGTGAGCGAGTGCATGTGAGTGAATGAGTGTGAGCGAGTGCATGTGAGTGAATGAGTGTGAGCGAGTGCATGTGAGTGAATGTGAGCGAGTGCACGTGAGTGAATGTGTGAGCGAGTGCATGTGAGTGAGTGTGAGCGAGTGCATGTGAGTGAATGTGTGAGCGAGTGCATGTGAGTGAATGTGAGCGAGTGCATGTGAGTGAATGTGTGAGCGAGTGCACGTGAGTGAATGTGTGAGCGAGTGCATGTGAGTGAATGTGTGAGCGAGTGCATGTGAGTGAATGTTTGAGCGAGTGCATGTGAGTGAATGTGAGCGAGTGCATGTGAGTGAATGAGTGTGAGCGAGTGCATGTGAGTGAATGTGTGAGCGAGTGCACGTGAGTGAATGTGTGCGAGTGCACGTGAGTGAATGAGTGTGAGCGAGTGCATGTGAGTGAATGTGTGAGCGAGTGCACGTGTGTGAATGAGTGTGAGCGAGTGCATGTGAGTGAATGTGTGAGCGAGTGCATGTGAGTGAATGTGAGCGAGTGCATGTGAGTGAATGTGTGAGCGAGTGCATGTGAGTGAATGTGAGCGAGTGCATGTGAGTGAATGTGTGAGCGAGTGCATGTGAGTGAATGTGAGCGAGTGCATGTGAGTGAATGAGTGTGAGCGAGTGCATGTGAGTGAATGTGTGAGCGAGTGCATGTGAGTGAATGAGTGAGCGAGTGCATGTGAGTGAATGTGAGCGAGTGCATGTGAGTGAAAGAGAGCGAGTGCATGTGAGTGAATGTGTGAGCGAGTGCATATGAGTGAATGTGAGCGAGTGCATGTGAGTGAATGTGAGCGAGTGCATGTGAGTGAATGTGAGCGAGTGCATGTGAGTGAATGTGTGAGCGAGTGCATATGAGTGAATGTGAGCGAGTGCATGTGAGTGAATGTGAGCGAGTGCATGTGAGTGAATGTGTGAGCGAGTGCATGTGAGTGAATGTGTGAGCGAGTGCACGTGAGTGAATGTGTGCGAGTGCACGTGAGTGAATGAGTGTGAGCGAGTGCAAGTGAGTGAATGTGTGAGCGAGTGCACGTGAGTGATTGAGTGTGAGCGAGTGCATGTGAGTGAATGTGTGAGCGAGTGCATGTGAGTGAATGTGAGCGAGTGCATGTGAGTGAATGTGTGAGCGAGTGCATGTGAGTGAATGTGAGCGAGTGCATGTGAGTGAATGTGTGAGCGAGTGCATGTGAGTGAATGTGAGCGAGTGCATGTGAGTGAATGAGTGTGAGCGAGTGCATGTGAGTGAATGTGTGAGCGAGTGCATGTGAGTGAATGAGTGAGCGAGTGCATGTGAGTGAATGTGAGCGAGTGCATGTGAGTGAATGTGTGAGCGAGTGCATATGAGTGAATGTGAGCGAGTGCATGTGAGTGAATGTGAGCGAGTGCATGTGAGTGAATGTGAGCGAGTGCATGTGAGTGAATGAGTGTGAGCGAGTGCATGTGAGTGAATGTGAGCGAGTGCATGTGAGTGAGTGTGAGCGAGTGCACGTGAGTGAATGTGTGAGCGAGTGCATGTGAGTGAATGAGTGTGAGCGAGTGCACGTGAGTGAATGTGTGAGCGAGTGCATGTGAGTGAATGAGTGTGAGCGAGTGCACGTGAGTGAATGAGTGTGAGCGAGTGCATGTGAGTGAATGAGTGTGAGCGAGTGCACGTGAGTGAATGAGTGTGAGCGAGTGCATGTGAGTGAATGAGTGTGAGCGAGTGCACGTGAGTGAATGAGTGTGAGCGAGTGCACGTGAGTGAATGTGTGAGCGAGTGCACGTGAGTGAATGAGTGTGAGCGAGTGCATGTGAGTGAATGTGTGAGCGAGTGCATGTGAGTGAATGTGAGCGAGTGCATGTGAGTGAATGTGTGAGCGAGTGCATGTGAGTGATTGTGAGCGAGTGCCTGTGAGTGAATGTGAGCGAGTGCATGTGAGTGAATGAGTGTGAGCGAGTGCATGTGAGTGAATGTGTGAGCGAGTGCATGTGAGTGAATGAGTGTGAGCGAGTGCATGTGAGTGAATGAGTGTGAGCGAGTGCATGTGAGTGAATGAGTGAGCGAGTGCTTGTGAGTGATTGTGAGCGAGTGCATGTGAGTGAATGTGTGAGCGAGTGCATATGAGTGAATGTGAGCGAGTGCATGTGAGTGAATGTGAGCGAGTGCATGTGAGTGAATGTGAGCGAGTGCATGTGAGTGAATGAGTGTGAGCGAGTGCACGTGAGTGAATGAGTGTGAGCGAGTGCATGTGAGTGAATGTGAGCGAGTGCATGTGAGTGAATGAGTGTGAGCGAGTGCACGTGAGTGAATGAGTGTGAGCGAGTGCATGTGAGTGAATGAGTGTGAGCGAGTGCACGTGAGTGAATGTGAGCGAGTGCATGTGAGTGAATGAGTGTGAGCGAGTGCATGTGAGTGACTGAGTGTGAGCGAGTGCATGTGAGTGACTGTGAGCGAGTGCATGTGAGTGAATGAGTGTGAGCGAGTGCACGTGAGTGAATGAGTGTGAGCGAGTGCATGTGAGTGAATGAGTGTGAGCGAGTGCACGTGAGTGAATGAGTGTGAGCGAGTGCATGTGAGTGAATGTGTGAGCGAGTGCACGTGAGTGAATGAGTGTGAGCGAGTGCATGTGAGTGAATGTGTGAGCGAGTGCATGTGAGTGAATGTGAGCGAGTGCATGTGAGTGAATGTGTGAGCGAGTGCATGTGAGTGAATGTGAGCGAGTGCATGTGAGTGAATGAGTGTGAGCGAGTGCATGTGAGTGAATGAGTGTGAGTGAGTGCATGTGAGTGAATGAGTGTGAGCGAGTGCATGTGAGTGAATGAGTGAGCGAGTGCAAGTGAGAGAATGTGAGCGAGTGCATGTGAGTGAATGTGTGAGCGAGTGCATATGAGTGAATGTGAGCGAGTGCATGTGAGTGAATGTGAGAGAGTGCATGTGAGTGAATGAGTGTGAGCGAGTGCATGTGAGTGAATGTGAGCGAGTGCATGTGAGTGAGTGTGAGCGAGTGCACGTGAGTGAATGTGTGAGCGAGTGCATGTGAGTGAATGAGTGTGAGCGAGTGCACGTGAGTGAATGTGTGAGCGAGTGCAAGTGAGTGAATGAGTGTGAGCGAGTGCACGTGAGTGAATGAGTGTGAGCGAGTGCACGTGAGTGAATGTGTGAGCGAGTGCATGTGAGTGAATGAGTGTGAGCGAGTGCATGTGAGTGAATGAGTGTGAGCGAGTGCACGTGAGTGAATGAGTGAGCGAGTGCACGTGAGTGAAAGAGTGTGAGCGAGTGCACGTGAGTGATTGAGTGTGAGCGAGTGCATGTGAGTGAATGTGTGAGCGAGTGCATGTGAGTGAATGAGTGTGAGCGAGTGCATGTGAGTGAATGAGTGTGAGCGAGTGCACGTGAGTGAATGTGTGTGAGCGAGTGCACGTGAGTGAATGTGTGAGCGAGTGCACGTGAGTGAATGAGTGTGAGCGAGTGCACGTGAGTGAATGTGTGAGCGAGTGCACGTGAGTGAATGAGTGTGAGCGAGTGCATGTGAGTGAATGTGAGCGAGTGCAAGTGAGTGAATGAGTGTGAGCGAGTGTGCACGTGAGTGAATGAGTGTGAGCGAGTGCACGTGAGTGAATGTGAGCGAGTGCATGTGAGTGACTGTGAGCGAGTGCATGTGAGTGAATGAGTGTGAGCGTGTGCACGTGAGTGAATGAGTGTGAGCGAGTGCACGTGAGTGAATGAGTGTGAGCGAGTGCATGTGAGTGAATGTGAGCGAGTGCATGTGAGTGAATGAGTGTGAGCGAGTGCACGTGAGTGAATGAGTGTGAGCGAGTGCACGTGAGTGAATGAGTGTGAGCGAGTGCACGTGAGTGAATGAGTGTGAGCGAGTGCATGTGAGTGAATGTGTGAGCGAGTGCACGTGAGTGAATGAGTGTGAGCGAGTGCACGTGAGTGAATGTGTGAGCGAGTGCATGTGAGTGAATGTGTGAGCGAGTGCATGTGAGTGAATGAGTGTGAGCGAGTGCACGTGAGTGAATGTGTGAGCGAGTGCATGTGAGTGAATGTGTGAGCGAGTGTGCACGTGAGTGCGAATGAGTGTGCATGTGAGAGAATGAGTGAGCGAGTGCATGTGTGAGCATTGAGTGTGTGTGTTGGGGAGCCTGCTGGCCTGTGTGCATTCCTGGGGAGCTTTGGATGGGGTCAGCAGTCGTGGAGTTAGTTGTGTGACTGCAGGTGGGACAGACCCAGGTGAGTCCCATCCCTGTGGCCGAGGGGGCTCCGTGTGGGGCATCCTGCACTGCCAGTGGAGGCGGGATGGGCGGAGGAGAGGCCAGCCCGGCCCCACCTGTGTCCTCCCCAGAGGCCGTTCGGCACGTGGGGGTGTCCTCGCTCCCAGGCCCTCGGGCTCTGGCAGGGCCCAGGCATCTGCTCCGCTGTCCCCTGTGCCCTCGGAGGGGGAGGGTGGAGCCAGGGCCGACATGCCAGGGAGGACAGGCAGGTGGCACTAACCATTTGCTGTGGGCTCCACCCGCTGTGCAGCCCCCGTGCCCATGAGGCCCGGCTTCATCGGGGGCAGCTGGCATGTGCCTCCTGCTCACCCGTCTCTCCTTCCTCAGGAGAGAGGCGCCCCTGGAAGGCCCTGAGTGGAGGGTGGCCCCTCAGGAGCCAGGCGGCCGCGGGCCCCGCCCTCGCCTTCCCGCCAGGCCCCTGCGGGGTGAGTGCGGTCAGCGCCGTGGACCTCAGGGAGAGCTCGGGGCCGCCCCTGGCCCCGCCCAGCAAGCGACACTGCCGCTCCCTGTCGGAGCCGGACGAGCTGGCCCGCTGCCGGTCCCCCTGGCGCCCCGGGGGCTCCAAGGTCTGGACTGCTGTCTCCAAGAGGCGCTGCCACAGCGGCGGGAGCACCAGCCTGCCCGGGAGCGCCCTGCCGGCCGCGGGCCCCAGCTCCCCGCCCACGCCCCGGCCGGCCTCCGCCAGTGGCGGCTGTGTGGACGGCGGGTGCGGCTCCGGGCCGCCCTGGGGTCCTCCAGAGCCCACCCTGTCCTCCCGGCGCCGCCTGTCCCTGTCGCAGGAGCACCTGCTGGACGCAGACACCCCGTCGTCCGCACCCGTGCTGGGCTGGCGGCTGGGCCTGCTCCGGAGCCGCTCGCAGCCCTGTGTGCTCGTCGGGAGGAAGAGCCGCCTGAAGCGCCCGCGGGAGGAGGACCCTCGGTGGCCGCGCCCGTCCCTGGACTTCCTGAAGATGACCCGGGTGAGGCTCCCTGTGCCACGGCCACCTGCCGCGCCGCCCGCCCACGGCTGCTGGGGAGGTTGGCTGGCCCTTGGCTGGGAGGATGTGCCAACCGGGGGGCACTGCCGGGTGCGCTGTGTCCCTGTCGGGTTGGAGCCGGGCCCCAGCGGCAGCGCCACACCCACACGACCTGCCCACCCTCCTCCAGGAGCGGGGCCCTGGCTGCCCTGCGGGGTGTGAGGATCTGGGGGTACGGAGTGTCCCAGGGTGTCCAAGGTGGCAGGGCTCCACTCGGACCCCGCCTCTCCTCGGGGCACAGACGCGGGGCCTCCCCGAGGGCTGTGGTGACTGCAGAGCAGGGCCGTACTCCTGGGGGAAGCCAGCGCCTCGGCCGATGGGCAGGTTGGGCGGCCTCCCTGGCTGCGGGTTCAGGGGGCTCGCAGGAGCCCGTCGTGCAGGTGCCGCCCGAGGGGGTGTGTCTGAGGTGCAGGGACCAAGGACGCTCGTGTGACTCGGGGACGTGTGTCAGGGTCGGCGGGGTGCCCGTGGGCCCTCCCAGCAGCGCCTGACGCACGTGTCTTCCCTGTTGCAGACGTTGAAGAACTCAAAAAGCCTTGGCTCCCTCGACTGCGAAGGTGAGGATGAGGATGAGGCAAGAGTGAAGACGGCCGCGTCCTCCCCACGGGCCCCGCACGGCCTCATGGGGCTCGTCACCCCAGCCTCCAGCCCCCTGGGCACCGGCCCCAGACCCCGGCCGGCCAGCCCCAGCCTGTGGGCCTCCCAGGAGGGCGGGAGTGGCGGGGCCCCGGGGGACTGGGACAGCGCCTGCGAGGAGGGCGTGTCCCCGCTGGGCCCCGGCGAGCTGGACCTGGAGCAGATCGAGAACAACTGACCGCGGCGGGGGTCTGGGGAGACGGGAAGCGGGTCCTGTAGTTTGAATGTTGGGGTCGTTCTGATCAGTCTTTCCTAAAGGAGTATTTTGCATTATTCTGGCTTTTACAGTTCTGGAGAAAGGTCTCTATTTTGAAATGCATTTTCAGAGGGCATTCTGTTACCCGGGTTCTGGGTACACACCCCAGGGCAGGCTGGTTCCTCGGTAAACGCCTGCGGTGAAGGGCGCTGTGCGTCCTGTAGTTACGAGGCCTGGGCGCTGCTTGGGGCAGGACCCACGCTCTGCGGCCTGACTCCTGGCCGGCGTGGGACACGGTCCTGGCGCACCTGGTCTGTGACTTCAATAAAAGACGTTTGCTTTGCACTGTGCCTTCCACTTGATTTTTTTAAAAACATTTTTTTATTGATTTCAGAGAGGAAGGGAGAGGGAGAGAGAGACATCAATGATGAGAGAGAATCATGGATCGGCTGCCTCCTGCACGCCCTGTACTGGGGATCGAACCTGAAACCCAGGCCTGTGCCCTGACGGGAATCGAACCGTGACCTCCTGGGCCCTTGGTCGCCGCTCAGCCCCTGAGCCACCCGGCTGGGCCGCTTGTTGGTGTAGACGGTCAGGGGCACGAGGCCTGGGCCGCCACAGCCTGTGAGGCCTGCCCCGTGCTCCCCCCCTTGCCCCCGTTCATTCCTAACTTAACAGGAGTCACAGGTTTCTACTAAGGGTGCTGACCTGGGAACTTTGGGTGAAAGGGAGGCGTTTGTGGCGATGAGACACAATAATCTGAGAAATTTTCTTTTTTCTCCGAGAAAGTTGGAGTAGGCCACTCATGGCAGGGAGCTCTAACTGGTTAGGTCTGGGGGCCCAGGGGGCGAAGGCGGGCAGGGGCGGCTTCCAGACTGGCCTCCTGCACGCACTGACCGCGGCCGAGCCACCTGTGCTCGGTGGCTCCAGCAGCACCTGGCCGGCCGTGCTTACTCGCAGACTGAGGTGGCATCGCGGGTCCTTCCTGATGAACGTGTAACCCTGAGGCCGCTGCGGTGAGGGCCGGTGCTGGCCGGGCGCAGGGCTGCAGCACCACCACCAGACTGCACCAGGAAGTCACGTTTCAGCTTTAACTTGGGGAGACGGATAAAAATAAAACAACATGCACTGGCTCGTTCGGCTCAGTGGATAGCGCGTCGGCTGAGGATTAAAGGGGCCCAGGTCGATTCCGGTCCAGGGCACAGGCCCGGGTTGCAGGCTCCATCCCCAATAGGGGGGCGTACAGGAGGCAGCCGATCAATGATTCTCATCACTGATGTTTCTCTCTCTCTCCTCCCTTCCTCTCTGAAATCAATAATATATTTTAAAAAGTAAATAAAAACATAAAACTGACAACAGAGAAGCAGAAAGTCACGCCTCCATCATCTGGGTGGAGAGTTTTGGACGATCTCTTAGTTAACAGGTTAGGGTGACCCAGAGGAGCACAGTTCCTATGGAAGGTCCGCTTGCGGCCGGCCGCCTGCGGGAAATCGCAGGGGTTCCTGGAGGGCGTGGAGGCGTCTGAGCCGCCCACTGCGCCCAGGGGAGGTCAGTGAGCCTGACGAGGCCTTCGTGGTGACCCCAGGGCCCCAGCACAGCCCAGGAACAGGGCGAACACAGCCTCGTGTTCAGGACGGTGGACAGCTCCTGTGTAACTCGGGGGCCAAAGAAATGACACGAGTGAGAAACGCTCAGCCGGAGCGGCCGTGAAAACTACAGCCGTCGGTGTCTCTGAGGTTGGCGACAGAAGGGACTTCCAACCGGAAACGGTCGTATTAGAAAGTGAATGTGAAAGGATGGTGAGCGAAGCCGGGGCTTTGGGAGTCAGGCGGTGGTGGGCCTTTTCCCGAGAGGCCGGTCGAATTGCTCAGGAATTTGAGGGCCACGGGCGGGGGGGGGGGGGGGGGGGGCAGAATTCTCATCTCACCCCTCGGACACACGGGTGCCTCTCAGACACTTGGCCGTGCAGACGGCTGCCACCGGCTGAGCCCCAGGTGAGGGGGGAAAAGACAAGCCAGCCCGACCGGGTGGCTCCGCGGCTGAGCGTCGACCTGGGAACCAGGAGGCCAGGGTTCGATTCCCGGTCAGGGCACAGGCCCGGGTTGTGGGCTCGGTCCCCAGTGGGGGGCGAGCAGGAGGCAGCCGGTCCACGATTCTCATTGATGTTTCTCTTCCTCTCCCTTCCTCTCTGAAACCACTAAAAACATTAAAAAGAAAACCTGAGATGCGGCAGAGATCGTAACGGTTACAAGAGAGCTTTAGAGGAAATGGCCAAGCTCCTGGAAAAATATCACTAAAGCTGCCCGGCCATTGTGGCTCAGCGTGGTCCTGGGTTCGATTCCCGGTCAGGGCACCGCCCGGGTTGCGGGCTGCGGGCTCACTCGATCCCCAGCAGCAGGTGAGCAGGAGGCAGCCTTTGATGATGTTTCTCTCATTGATGTTTTTCTATCCCCCTCTCTAAAAATCAGTAAAAACATTTAAAAAAGAGAAATGTCGCCAAAACTAACCCAGGGCTGGGCCTCTGGCCACGAACTACAATGAAACAGCCGTGTGGCACCTCCCGCAGAGGAAACGGCCCAGATGGCGGCCTGGGCCCGGGCACGAGCACCCACCAGACGGGGCCGGGGCCGGGGCCGGAGGTGGTGCTGGCCGGCGGGCCGACCCCTGTGGCTGAGGTGTGGGGAAGCTGCCTGGAGGCCTCTGCCCCCCTTTCCCGTCTCCGTCCCTCTGCAGGCCGGAGAGGGCTGTGAGCCCTACACCCCCCAACCGTGCGCCCACCACCTGACCCCACACCAGGGGCTTGTTCCCACGAAGAAGGGTCCTGGGCAAGTGGGGTCTGACTCCTGCAGCCTCCAGCCCGGGCCTCAGGCCTCAGGGGAGAAGGCCGTCCCCTCACAGGGCCTCCAGCCCATAGGCACTGACCCCTGACCCCTGGCCTGGACCCCACTCCTGAGCCGGACGACCCTCACCGCAGGGCCCTGCAGGATGGAGGTGCGTCCCCATCCCCGGCCTCCGCCACCACCTTCTCCCACGTCCCTGCGGACACAGCTTCTGAGCGGCTTTGGTTAGTGGTGGTGGCTTGCGTTTCACGGGGAGCAGCGGCGGCCTGTGCTCGGGGCTCCGTTCCTGTCCTTACTCCGAGGACCAGCCTGTGATTGACCCACGGGCACCCCATCTTCCTGGTTTCCTTTATTCTGGCCTCCCTCCTGGTGTCGAACGTTTAGTTCACTTAACATTCAGTCTCTGGCTCAGCAAGAAAAACACTGAAGGCTGTGACTCCTCCCCTCACCCCTGCCGCGCGGGTCCAGACGGCAGCCTCCTGTGTGGCTGGAAGGTCGCAGTCATGGCCCCTCTGCCCCCCGCCCCCCAACCGGGGTCACTCGGGAGAGCGGCTTCACCTCCAAGCGCCTGGCTCCTCTCTGGATCCTCCTGTTCATCTGTCGGTGCCTCGTGTCGATGGAAAGGACGAGGCCTCTACGTGTTCTGCCACTTGTAGCGTAGCAAGGTATGTGTGCATGTGTGCACCTGTGCCCACACACACGCACACACATGGCGCATGGCTGTGTTCGCACCAGTCCATGCATACACGTGTGCGCACGCATGCAGTCAGCTACATGGGTGCGCACGTGTGTATATATGTCCATGTATGTGTAGGTCCGTGTGTGTGCACGTGCGTCTGCCCACAGGGCCTGTGCATGTGTGTAATGCGTGCAGGAACGTATATGCACATGCGTGTGACTGTGTCCACATGTATACCCGGGCACACACAGGTGCATACACACATGTGGAGAATGTTCGGGTGAGTGCTGCCCAGTCAGGCATGTCCATGAGGCTCAGGCCCTGTCCTCATTCCGGTCTTGCTTGCCTGATCCTGGGGCTCCGGCGAGGTCTGGGCCCATCCAGGGGGTGAGACAGGCCTGCTGGGTCCCCAGTGCTGCTCAGAGAGGCACCCTGGTCTCACGCCCCTGGTTTAGGTCTGGGTGCCAGGCTGCTGGGTAACATGTGCAAAGATGTCGGAGCCCATGGGACAGGGTGGGGGGCCTGGAGGGGCTCTCGCCACTGAGTCAAGCCAGCCAGGCTGTCTCTGTTATTATTCATTCATTCATTCATTCATTCATTCATTCATTCATTTTCTTTTTTAAAAAAATATTTTTATTGATTTCAGAGAGGAAGGGAGAGGGAGAGAGAGATAGAAACATCAATGACGAGAATCATTGATCGGCTGCCTCCTGCACGCCCCCTATTGGGGATCAAGCCCGCAACCCGGGCATGTGCCCTTGACCAGAATCGAACCCGGGACCCTTCAGTCCTCAGGCCGACGCTCTACTCACTGAGCAACACCAGCCAGGGCTATTTTTCTTTTTTCTCTTCTTTCTGTTATTCTTTTTAAGTGTTATAATAATTAATTGGAAACATCTTTTCCAATGTTAGGGTATAAGAGGGCTATTGATTGGGTATTGCTTTTATATATTTCTCTAATCCAAACCATCTGATTGTCTTATTTGAATACTTTTTGAGGTGAAAGTCACTAAGAAAATTAGCCACGTAAAAGGGGCGTTTAGTGCATCCACACGGCTGCGTGGCCACCACCCCGTCGGGCTCCACATCCACCCGCTGCTGAGAGCCCCTTGCCCATCACCGCACCTCTCGGCCCGCAGCCACCAGCGCCTGCTCCCTGCATTGCCCCTGGTGGCCGCTGGGTGGCAGCAAAGATCGTCCCTGTGAGGGAGGCTCAAATGCGCGGGTGGGCCGGGCTTGTGGGGTGCAGGGCCTGCGGGGGCGTGGGGAGTGGCCCCCGCGGTGGTGGTGAGGGGGTCCCCCTGTCATTCCCACCCCCAGAGCCCTCGGGTGGCTCCTTCCACTTCCAGCCGGGGTGGGGGTCCGGGTGCTCCCCAAAGCGTGCTGGGCGTTCTGGGGGGACGTGGGCAGTGAGGGTGCACCCCCGCCTGGGAGGCTCAGACACTGGGCGCCTTGTCATGAGCTTGGGGGTCGGAGGAGCCGGGTGGGGCTCCTGCAGCTGCACCTGGGGCTGGGGGAGCTGAGCCCCTTCCCTCAGGCCGGGATGGGGGCCAAGCGTCCCCGCCCTGCAGGGGGCCCGGGGCAGAGCGGCAGCAGCTGGGGGTCCGTACAGACTGTGCTCCTCACCCAGCCAGCCCTCCTGCAAGGCGGCTGTGGGTGTGGCCCGGGTGTGGGTGTGGCCTCAGGGGTGTGGGTGTGGCCTCAGGGTGTGGGTGTGGCTCCGGGTGTGGGTGTGGCCCGGCAGTTGTGGGTGTGGCCCCGGGTGTGGGTGTGGGCACAGGTTGTGGGTGTGGCCCCGGGTGTGGGTGTGGGCACAGGTTGTGGGT